ATATCATGTGGCTGTGTATTCTAGGGTATCACAAAAAATGTAAAAAATGAAGTCATGATGCATCGTTTCCCGTCTTCTCTTCCCATCGCGTGCGACTTCGTTCCCGCTCTCTTGTCTTGGATTTCCAGCGATCAGCCGTATTTTTTCTTTCTCCTTTTAGTTTCCCATATTTCGAGTAGCAATCCACGAGAGGCGTTTTTCTTTTCTCCCCTCCCCCTCTTCACTGCTCCTTCTCTTTCTTTTCCGAGCCCCTTATTGCGAAGAGACCCGGTTGTGTTCCAAAACATCAACATCCAGCTCCTCCATGACCTCGACAACGAGGTTCAGGCTCTCCATGAGGCCATTGACGGCCACGCGAAGCATGCGGTTTGTGGTGGCCTTGTAGTGTACGCGCAGGACGGAAGCAGCGTCGGCGCCGGCGTCACTCGGTGAGTCGGAATCGACGGAGAAGGTGCGACGGACGAGGGGAGACAGTTCTTGGTCGACGGCGAGGGCTTTGTGCGCAACGGTGGCTAGGCGCGGGGTCGGGAAGGGGACGTTGATTGTCCTAATCGTTTCGCATGTCTCAGTTTTTTGTATCTCTATGAGGTGGGTATGGTACAAATACGAGAAGGAATGGGGGGGTTCATGCGGGATTTGGGTATGGCGGCGACTACTCACAATGAGCAGGGGAACTCTTGGTCAATGGTGTTGTGGACGGCCATGGTTGGGGATTCTCGGCGCTGGGAGTTCTGCGCTTGGAGGTGGGATGTGGAGGGAGGGGGAGGGGTGAAATCGAGATAGAGATAGATAGGTAGACTATCTTAGGTAAGTAGGGTGATGAGGTGCCTTGGGTGGACAGGAATGGGCAAGCCCCGTCGATGTTGCGCTGTCACGGCGGCTCTGTGGGGGAGGGATGGAGATCTTTCTGAAAGGGAACTTGACAGGAAGCAGAAAGAGAAGGCAAAGTCGTCATTGGCGGCGCAAGAAAATTCCTGTCCGGCCGGCAAACACCAAAGTAACGTACTGTACGTACTGCTTGCGTACCTTGAAGAAACCAAACAATGAGCGGGACAGCGGGACGGAAACATGAGGTGAGCACAAACCTTGGAGGGACCGAGAAAAGTAAGGATAGTGTGACTACGTAGTAGGGAGCACAGTGCCCCGCCATTCCACGGGCTTGTTTCCATGGCGGCATCTCAGTCTAGGGTCGAATGTGACACACGACAGAATCAAGCAATGTAGCCAACGCACACGCACAAGGGCTCTCGGGCCGTCCCCAAGGTGACTTGGTGACCTCTTTGACTTACACACATGTTCTATTGGTTCCAACGGGATGGATGAAGTGCGTGTTGTTCCATACCTATCCCGTATCCGTAGACGGTAAGGTAAGGTAGAGCCCACAGTTCAAGAGTCCACAGAGGGACGAGATGCGCAACGTGGGGTTGCCCTGGCGGCTCACATGTTGTCTGATGCAATGCCGCCCGATAAGCAACCTGAGAAGGCTTAAACGAGTTCATGCGGAGACGGTTGCCCATCTGTGCCTGGCTGGTTTGTTATTGTTGGAACAAACCGATAGAACCTGGAGAGAGAGCAAGGGGGCATTTCTTTTGGGCATTAGCTGCGCAAGCGGTGGTCAACAGCCGTCAGATGCTGCAAAGGGCTTAGTTTCCATGGTAAAGGGAAGATACTTGGTACCTGTTTACCCACGGTAAGGTGGTGAGGTGGTAGATATCTTAGTCCAGGTGGTAAGCCAAGCGGGATCTGAGGCGGGTGCGTTTGCCTCAGGCGTTGTGAGCCAATGGGACGGTTCGATCCATCCGTCAGGAGGCGCACCTGGCCAGTGCTCCCCCTGGCAGGTTGTCGTGACAACGAACCTGGCAGCCCGGCAGCCAGCACAAGACTGGATGAGCAGGGCCAGAACACACCACAGCACAGCGGTCGCCGTGGTGCAGGGGGGGCCACCTGGGGGGCGCCACACTGCACAGAAGGCTAAGGGAACAACAACCGACCCTTGCTGTTTTGGGCCGGCCCCATATTGACCGCTTGGAGCAAAACACACAGCAAACCATACAAAAACACCGTCACTCGGTCTCCTTTGCGCTTTCGCAATACCTTCCTTTTACCTCATCCTCCCAATAGACTCCGACAATTGTCTTGTCCGCCCTTGAAGCATCACATCTCCCTTGAGTCGGGTTGCTGTTTTCTCTTGCGCTTCCTTCTCTATTCTCCGCAAGGGCGTCGCAGCTTTTTGGGTCAGACCAGGAAAGAAAAAAAAAACATCAAAACCAAAAAGGTGTACAGTAGCTGCTTGTTGTTGTTATTGTTTCAGACCAGCCATTTCAACATTCCTGCCTCAACCCAGCTCACAATCCCGCACCCATTTGCTGCACGACACTTTTCCCAGGGACCGCCTTCCCGAATTCCCTTGCGCGCGCATTACTTCGCATACAAAGGAGTAGCCTCGCCTCTGGATAATCTCGGCGCCTGCCTTGATCATTTCGACCCCCTCCAGCCTCCAGCCTCCTCCAAGTTGCATCTTGGATTCCGGCGCCGAGAGCAACTGCCTCATCCCAATCTCAACCGGACAATAGCTTCAGAGAGGAAACAGAGACTCACGAGTCCCAATGGCGCCTTCATCCAAGAGTGCCAACATGGGCCAGGTCATTGAGTACATCCCAGGTGAGTTATCGCGCGTGCTCTTTCAACTCCCAAATCGTGCATTTTGCCCGCCCTCAACATCACAACCATGTCGCATCATTATCCTGCGCCGTCTCGGTCGCCTCGCTCGCCGCAAGCCGACGTAAGCGCAACATGCGACAGCTTCAACTATGCCTTACCCCAGCTTCATCCCTACCTCTATTGCGCCTTCTTACCAATCTCAATTCTGACTTGGCTTCCAGACCGCCTGTACCTGGCCGCCTACATCCACCCGCCCACGGCCGAGACCATCTTCCCCTACGGTGAAGCTGCCCAGTCTTCACCTAGAAAGCGATCACAGAGAGCGGCCGAAGGCCCGACACCCGTCCAGACCGCCGCCCGTCAAACACCGTACTACTTCACCGTCGACGATACCCTCCTGTACAATGCTTTCCACCACGACTTTGGCCCGCTCCACATTGGTCACCTGTACCGCTTCGCCCTGCAGTTCCATGACGTCCTCGGTGCCAAGGAGAATAAGGATCGCCCAATTGTCTTCTGGAGTAGAGCCGACCCCAGAAGTGAGTCCGCGGCATTAGATAGTTGTCATGGGAACCCCCAGCTAACAGTTTACAAGGTCGCGCCAACGCTGCTTGCATGCTCGCCTGCTACATGGTCCTTATTCAGAACTGGCCCCCGCATCTGGCCCTGGCCCCCATCGCTCAAGTCGACCCACCTTTGATGCCCTTCCGCGACGCTGGATACTCTCAGGCCGACTACGGCATCACCGTCCAAGATGTTGTCTACGGCGTCTGGAAGGCCAAGGAGGAGGGCTGCTGCGCCCTCGACAACTTCGACCTCGACGAGTATGAGAAGTTTGAGAGAGTGGAGCACGGAGACTTCAACTGGATCACGCCACACTTCCTGGCCTTTGCCTCGCCGCAACACACACCCGTTGCTAAGGTCCTCGAAGGCACTGAGGAATTTGATGCGCTTCCCAAGTCACTCGGCCAGTTGGATGCCAACAAGACGCTTCCCCAACCCTTTAAGAACGTTCTGAAGCATTTCACCGAGAGAAACATTGGCCTCGTTGTTCGCCTCAACTCGCCTCTGTACTCCCCGTCCTTCTTCGAGTCAATGGGCATCTCTCACCTCGATATGATCTTCGACGACGGCACCTGCCCGCCTCTCACCACTGTCCGCAAGTTCATCAGACTGGCACACGAGACCATCACCGTCAAGAAGAAGGGCATCGCTGTCCACTGCAAGGCCGGTCTCGGAAGAACAGGCTGCCTCATTGGTGCATACCTCATCTACCGCCACGGCTTCACGGCCAACGAGATCATTGCCTTTATGCGCTTCATGCGCCCCGGTATGGTCGTCGGTCCCCAGCAGCACTGGCTTCACATCAACCAGGGTATCTTCCGTGAGTGGTGGATCGAGGAGCGCATCGAGCGCAAGCTCCGCAAAGAAATGGCCGCCAATGCCGCTGTCCCCAGCACCCCGATCCGCGCCATGCAGAAGACGTCGATTCGTGCCGGTCAGGCATCCACGCCCCCGCACCGAAGCACCTCCAACCGGACGCCTTTGAGCGAAGTCGACCACGACCGCAATAACATTGGGGTTCAGGAAGACTACCTCCCAGCGCCGACTCCTGGTCAGCCGAGGAAGACCAATAGGGCAGACCGCCACCACCCATACCAAAGGTCAACTTCATACACCGCAACAGTCGAGGAAGAAACGGGCATCCACCAAGACGCCGAGACCATCACAGTCCACAAGCATTCTCATAGCGCTGAGTCGGATGAAGAAATTCACCTCCGCATGCGCTCGCAACGGAAACCGTCCGCGTCACCTGGTCGCAGTGAAAAGCGCTCGGTTAGTCACTCAGCTGCCGCTGTGTACCAGACGTACATCGACAACGATGCCAGCAATGACGTCGAGAACCTCGGAACATCACGCGTCAAGCAAGTGGATAGAGTCAGCAGCGCGTCCGGCATTCTCACCAAGGTTCGTGGCAGTAAGCGATCGGGCGAGTCGCCGAGGTCCAAGGATGGAGTTCGAAAGACGAGCGGCCGTGTTGGCAGCGTGGGTACCTCGGCAACGTCAGCCACGGCGGCGTCGACGGCCCGCAAAGTCTCTGGTGCCTAGGTGACACGCAGAGGCATCCAGCCTGGCCCTCGTTCTTGAGTTTCTACTCCGGGCCATGTGACTCGGGCCGACCACTTACTAACCACTTATGATGATGATGATCACGACCGGTCCATGTTGTTCTGCATGAATTGGCGTTGGGTTCTGGTAACCTTGGAGATTGCGGCAAATTAGGATGGTGTTTACGGGTGGAAGCCGGCTTTGACCGGCATGATGTCCACGACACGGCGATGATGACAACGATGAAGATGAACGGGTCCCTCGGGGCGCATTTCTTTCTTCTCCTTCCCCAAGCATTCGATGCATATTATACCTGGCTCGGCAATCGGCCGGTTCAAACCTTGCTTTTGACTTCTAAGGCGTTTACGGGGCGGCATTCTGGGATTCTCGAATGTATTGTAATTGTATTTCTCACTGCGGGTTTTTCGATCCCAGACATTGTTTTGGTCTTTCTGTTCGTACGCTCGGGGCAAGTGGGAAGAGTGAAGAAAACAAGGCAACTGGCAGTAGGCATTGGCTTGTTTTCCTGGGGAGAGATGTTTCTGTCAGAACATAGATACAAGCACACGTGATGGAGGAGGTTTTCTTGCCCCGAGCTAATTTTCCGCATCAATACAAAAGTACAAACACTTTTCGTCTGGCTTGGAACTGCACTGTGATGTGGTGAGATGTCCTTTGAGCCATTGGACTAGACCAGAGACTTCTAGGCCACTTCGAGGTTCTTATACAAGTTGAGTGTGACGCTTGGATTGTCTGAATACAAGCTTCCTACGTTTGTACTACTATACAACGTCTCTGGTGGTCTTTTCTCTACACAGGTCCTCTACCTCACAGTGAATTGATGGGCAAGCGGTGGTGTCAACATTCGTATAACGATTTTCTGTTTTCTCTATCTCTAATGCCAAACGGATAGTTTTTTTCCATTTCATATTTCTTTGTATGAAGGTAAGTATATATCATTGATCCTCGCCTGGTCTGCGGCGCCAGCCGTTCCTCGGGGCGTATTTCCATGGCAATCATCTCGAAGAGGAGGTAGCGACTGAACGGAGCTGGGAGCAATGTACGTGACTTGGACGGAAGACCCTGGGCAAAACGTGGCGGGCGACCCGAGGGCCTCATCGGAGGCAATCCTCCAGAGCAGGCACAAGGCACCCGTTGCGTCCAACACGATGGCGCCGAAATGATCTGTCCGACAAATCCCTTCAGCGGGTGCTGGGCGTACTAAGCAAGTATGTATACGCAGGGTAGAAGATGGCGAGAAGGGGAACGAGGGCAATGGAACAACTGACCTACCTGTTCTAACAACGACAACAACCACGACAGCGTTACGACGTCGGAACTGGTTAGTGATTTCATCCGCCCTTCCGTCCATCTATCTTGCTCGTAATGTGACCATTAATGAGTTGGGTACTTTACAGGTTGTTGAGAGCTATTCATCAAGACTTATCCCTTCGCTTCGGCTCATTGAATAATGGCCTCCTCGCGCTCAACAGAAAGTCAAGCTCGAGAAGGAACACTGACTACTCTTGATCTCATTACATTGTTTATCAGTTCGTCGGTCGTCTGGTCTGGTCCTGTATGATAATATGAGCAGTATGTCATCCTGGTTGTACTGAAGTCTCGTAATTACAATGCCTCTTTCTCAAATTTCAGTAGATTTATAATAGGATCTGTTGCAACTATCAATTCAACCTCGGCGTTTGAAGATTCTTTCACTCTCCCTCTTGGACAATTTATTTCAAAAAGCAATAAGCATATATTTGCACCTGAAGGTGACGGAATAGATGGTGACGAAATAAATGAAGCACGATGGAAAAGCATCTCTCTCCACCATTCTGTCATTTCTCTCTTGTTGTTCATCACAAGGTAATCACATCACATCTCATCTCACTACATCGTATCACATCTAATCTGGACCCCAAGTATAGGAGAAATGTTGTCCCCAGATCTCTCTTCTTCCCGTACGCAAGGAGGTCGCTGACCGGCGTACCGTAAGCATAGCATTCCTTCTAAATAGATATACACGGCAGAAACACAATATTTCAAGACGAAAGATGCCCACTTTCGCTTCCTTGCACATGACGAGCGGAGAACGTCAAAATCATCGTGTTTCCGTCTTAGACTTCGAGTTCATATGCCCCCAGACTTTCAAGCTACGACGAACCCAAGAGCACGAGGCAAATATGGAGGACGAATGGCTTACCATACCACTTCAGCTCGGAGCCCGCAGTTCAAGTCGAGACAGAAAGGAATTAATTCACCTACAGTCCGTCCCGCACGGGTGCGAATAACCTGCAAGTTGCAAATCGAGGACTAACGTATCCGCATACAACGTTGAACCGACACCACCCATCGTCCGCCGATATTCTGCAGCACAACAACGACGAATCCTACGTCCCCGCTACAGAATCAAACAGGGACCCCGCCGAAGCAGGGGCAGATGGGGGAGAAGAGAAATAGGGGGAAAGAGCCGAATAACGAAATGCCCAAAATCCTTTCGTACTGGCGCTGTGCCGCAATCATATCCGTATTCCCTCTTGGTCTGTCACTCGATTCAGTTCAGACCTGGTCCGCGGCCCGCCACCAGCACTCAAAGTCGAGACTCGAGAGCTCTGTTTCCTCAAAGATCCCGGCGACATGGTTCTCAAAGTGGGGGTCTGGCGCAGCATGCGACTGCGACTGCTGCGCTGCAGCGTGGCAGTCTGTGGAAACATAAATAAAAGAAAAAACGCTTTGACGTGAGACAACCGTTGTACTTTCGCTTGCTGGGATTCGGCAAAAAGCCATGTGTGCTTATGGGGTTTCTTCCCAACACTCCTCCTAATGCCCATATCGTATACGAATACTCTGTAGATAAGTCGCTCATGCAATACCAAAACCCAACAGCAGGAAAGCTAGCTATGGTTGCAATCGGCAAATCTATCCTCTCTTCTACCACGAGAACAACGTTCCATTCACATTCCACACACACTGAAATTCATACTGGGGGTGGTGGTGGCTTCGGTGCTCCTCAAGAAGAAGAAAAGGTGAAAAGTGACAGCTTACCTATACCTTACAACACCCCCTGCTTTTTCCTCAACACAACGTCGGAAAGCCTTAAGAGGGTTAGCAGCCTTTTCACACTCCGGAGACCCGGAAGCCTGAAGGGGTAAAAGGGTGGATATGCTCTACTTTACCCCCAGAATTCCGGGGGCGTTACCGTTTTGCTGCCGCGCGAACGTCTAGTGTACGGGTAGCGTGCCTGACGTAGCCGTGTGTTCCATGGCGAAGCCCGTCGCACTCGCAGAAGGGGGCCTATCTGCACAACATCCCATCCTTCCCTCCACCCCATCTCGTGGTGAACCCCGAGGGTTTCACTATTCTAGTGAAGAAGTTCCGCTATCCGTACTGTCAGGCTTTACTCACCTGGTTAGAACCTCGTACTCTCGTGAGGCTCGTCCAGCTGTGAGTTGCCGTTTTGATGATGAAGGAGAACATATCCATCTCCCTGACGCTGTCAATCACTGTAGACTGGCTAGTCTAAGAAGGAGTACGAAACACAGAACACTGCCTTGGTCCTTTGATATCCGTATCAGTATCAGGGCTGACTTACTTTCTCCGCTGTCGCTTTGCGCCGCTGAACAAGATGGTGGTGGGCATTGTCGATAAATTGAGGGGAGAGCCTATATGTGAATAAGACTGCGCTTGAGAAAGGAGACCAAGTCGAGCAGAAGTCAATGTTCATCTGGCTGGCCCGGGCCATGTTCAATACAAACGAACTTGTATCGGGAAACTGCAAGAAGTCTGTTCGTTGCCCCAGGCCCCGGCCATATCACGTCGGACCATGGGCAAGGGTTTCCACCACGCAGCCACGCTGCGCAATAGAGTGGGAATGTTAATGGGCTTTCGGTCAAGTACTCCGTCCTCCCACGATCCACTAATGCACATCGTTTGGAAAATTTTCGCAGCGGCATTGCGCCAGAACAGCCCATTCTTTGATCTCGTGTGTTGAGATGAATATCATCAGGTGATTGGCTTGAGGCGTGAGGGTAAAGGCTCTTTCGAGAGTGAATAGTAATAGTCAAGTCTTGAGGCGGTTAAGAGTGTTGACAGTGCGGCTCTGGCGGGAAGACAAAGAAAATCCCGAGAAAATCTCTCTCTAGAAAGTGAAGCTGCGGTATCAGGTCTCGGCCCTGAAGCCGTAGGCTGCTGGTCGTTGCGCCAACTTAGGCTTCGCCTCATCCTGGCCGACAGGGTCGTTTTGTCGCAAGTCTCCTGTCGGGGAGGGACTCGCGACCAGGAAGTTCGCAGCAAACATACGAGATCCAAACCAAGGATCCTGCAATGATGCGCATTACCATTGCAAATTCCGGCACGGTGCGCAATCTTGTCAACCCAGCAGAGTGGCACACTTCTATGGTGCTGGTGAACTGGTGAAATGCCGCGACCCAAGTGCGTGGGAGCTAACCAGACGTTGGCCACAAGTGATGTATGTTCAGTGCCACCCTGCACGGCTCCTGTGCGTCTCGTCGCCCGCATGTAGACGCGGGTCGATTGTCAGATGTAAGTGAACTTGTGTGTGTGCGTGTGCGCGCGCCAGAGACCAAGAGGGAGACGAAGTGCGTGTGTGCGGAAAGAGTGTGTGTGGTGCCGCCATATGCAAAACATATATAAGCGAATGCATCCTGCTCCTCCAGGACGATGGAGCCGACGATCAACAGGAGAGAAAAACTTAGTCGGCAGCAGATAGCTCTTTGGCAACCGGAACTGCTCAGCCTCAAGAGACCCCCGTGTCGCATTGCAATCCAAAACCCACCGTCTGTTCCTCGTCATTCGTCGCATTGCACACTCCTGTCATTGAAACTTGGCAGCCCCAGTTTCTCCGTCACAGCATTTCTCGACGGGCCGAGCCGTCAAACACTATCCGAACGGCTGAACAGCGCCACACAAGACCGTCTCGACTTCAGGCAAGGTTTTGCGAAGAGAAAGAAAGACCCAGCAAACTCAAACCGTGTACCGAATCATGATTGATACGCCAACGAGGCCTGCCCGGTCCCATAACAAGCCGCAAGCAAACGCCATGGCTGACAAGGTCTGCGCCCACAACAAGTCGGGTATCTGTGGTTGCAATAACATAGTACCGTGGAACAAAACCCTATGCGATAGCTGCGAGCAAGGCAATTGCTCGGGTTGAAGACCAGAGGAGAAGCTAGACCGGACTCGTGGGCCTGGACAATGGCTATTTTACGCTCCGTGCTCAATTCGAGACGCAATATAAGGGCAACGGGTACGCCACGTTCGAGTCGCGTGTGTGGCGTATAGAGCTGGAACTTCGACTGGCTTGCTATCGAAGCAGGAGGATTTGGTTTCGAGTTGATTTGGCGCAACGATGATGCGACATATTTCCGGATGTCGGTAGCTAGCTGCGGCTATTGCGTGCATAAAATACGGCCACGAGCGTGATCTGCCGTAATAGGAGTCGACTGGATAGGTTTGGGGAGTTCTTTGGCTTTGGAGGATGGGTTTTGTGTCTCGCATTCGGCGCGGTGCGAGTAGCTGAAAAAGGAGGGAGAAGGAATCTCGAGCTCTGCACTACCATTACACCGCATACATTAATATATTTGCTTACATGTATTGCTGTGCTCCATGCCTTCCATCGATTGGACTACTCGTCACCAACGAGAGAAGTCTATTGACCTATTCTGCACGATGGAAATCGAAGTGATCTCTGCAGGGATGCATGCCGCCGGGATGGTGCCGCTGTTGATACTCGATTGGCACACAACTGTCGGGAACCGAAGGAGGGGAAGACGCCGTCGAGCTTGATGTCTGCCATGTAGTACAATGAGGACCGAGGATAGCAATCATCCGTGTACCACCGGAGATCAACGTGGAAGTGAGGAAAATCATGCAGTACAAGGTACTAGTAGTTTGAATGAAAAGAGAAGAGTTGGAAACAGTAGAAATTCCGACAAAGATGATGAGGAGTCGTCGGATGTCTTTGTTGATGGGCAGACCACAGACGACCTAGAAAGCGGCCCGTTCCTTTAGTAAGGCAACCACGTGGGCGAATCAGCGTGACGAGCCTACCACGCCTTGCCGTACCGTTGAAATGGTCTAATCTACCTACTTACGGATACATACCCTAAGGTAAGGTAAGGTAAGTACTGACGGAGTACTGAGGCTGGCGTCTGAGGCTTGCCGTTGGCCCACCCTACAATTAGAGAGAACCAACGGCCGGCAGTGCCTGACTTTGCTTCATCTCGGAGGCTTAGACAATAGTACTGTCTTAGCCACTCATTTCAGATGCTTCCTTCTGTTGCAAGTCAAATCTTCCCAAGGTCTAGAGCATTCGGGACTCATCCTTTCAGGTATAACCCATGCAGGCGCAGGAAAATGAGCCACTTGCTCTCTGCTTGCAAAGGAAAGAAAAAGGTCACCGGCTACCCGGACAACGTTCACTTTGAGCTGATAGTGGCCTGAGTACCTTGTTATCGAAGAAAGTTAATTCTTTCTAAGTTATAAATATAAGAATACAGTTTTAATAAAATAGTATAGTACTTACTTAGTACTTAAATTAAAATACTTTTTTAAACTTATTATAAAAAAAAGATAATTATATTACTAATTACTTATTATTAAGGTTTATAAGTAGTACTATAGTTTTAACTATAATAGCTTTACTTATAATAAGTAAAAAGTTTAATTATAAGTCCCTTAAAAACCTTTAATTAAAAGCTATAAGAGCCTTTAAGTATACTAAGTTAAAATACTTATTAAAATATTAATAACTAAACTAACCCTATAATAACGACCTTAATAAAATACTTAATAAATAACGCTAGAATCCTCGCTAATATTAAGTACGATTTATAAAGTATAATAACGTAACTATAGAGTATTATTAATATATTTTATACTAAAAAGGGTATTATTAATATTAATAAAATAAATAGGGCTATATTAATATAATACCTCGGCTTTTTTTTATAACTTAAAAATAATTACTTTAAATAATATTAGAAGTTTATTAAAAAGCTCTTTTAAATACTCTAGTATATCTATTATTATTTTTATAATAATAAGATTTTTAATACTTATATATAAGAATAGGTTACTTATTTTTAAATAATAATATTAGCTTATTAATAAACTATTAAAACTATAATTCTAACGATTTTTTAATAAGAAAGAGGGTAGAATAGAGGAAAGGATAGGTAATTTATAAAAAGGGTTAAGGTTAAATAGTGCGGAATTCGAGGGTAGGGTAGCGTCTATATGTACTGCGGTAATCCTCTAGTAATGCAAAACGATGGAGTTAAACAGTGGCTGATAGTGGCCTGCCTATGCCTTAGTAGATGAATTGAACTGCGAGGTGGGTTATAAGTAGAGTATGTTGAGACCCTGCAGTTGTCGTGCTCAAATACACACATGGTGAATCAGGGAAATGTCTTTGCAAACATCTCACATCGAAACGGCCCGATCGTGCGTCATTTCATCAAAGTCACTGCATTCCAGAGCCAATGAGGGGCAAAATGTGAGGTCATCTCAGGTTCGTCTCATTCAGAAAATAGAGTATGAGTGTGTGCATCGTCTGTCGGGTATGTCTGCAATCATGTCCCAGTAGGTATAAACTCCTCCAACTCACCCGACACCCAAACAATAAGTCTATGGCTAGAAGTGTAAGGCCACCCGGTAGCCGAGGCTCCAATCCGCTTTCCAAAACACCCAGAATCGTTGATAAAATAAAAGGTCTCCAATCAGCCTATCCCCTGAGAATAATAGTGAGATCAGTCGTGAATCGAATTAATGTGAAGTGACTGAGAGTTGCGAATTCTGAGTTGCTCTTTGACGACCATGTAAGCCGTCTAGTTCAGCGCGAGAGCAGCGAGACCGACAACGGCGGCCATCAGACCGCTCTGAACGAAAAGGCCAGAGCCGGCGCTTGCAGGTGCGGAAGGAACAGCGCTGCCCGCAGAGGTGGGGGCGGAAGAGTCGGCAGACGTCTTGATGGGAAGGACGGTAGACTTGGTCCAAGGAGCCGAGGCGGTCGGGCCAGCAAAGCTGGTGGAGTTGGCAGCCGGGTAGAAGTGGGACGACGACGAGGATGACGAAGAAGAAGACGAAGACGACGAGGTGGAGGTGGAAACGGGCGTGGAGGTCGTCGAGTTGATGGTAGGCGCAACAGTCGAAGTCGGCGTGTACAAGGGGCACGCAGTGTTGGTCGGGTTGCACTTGGTGATGGTAACCGTCTTGGTGGTGGTGGCGGTCATGGTCGTGGTGCTCTCATCCGCGGATTGAGCAACGGCGACCGAGGCGGCCAGGAGAGCAAAGATGCTGGTGAAACGCATTTTGATTGATGTTGGTTGGATAAGTTATGTAGGCTTTGAGAATCGGTATAAGTCAAGGTATGACCAAAGCTGACGAGTTTCCACCGGGTTGAGTTGTGCGTGAACGTGCAAAGCGTGTGCCTTTAATGAATGCAATGTCAAGGGAATGACGGTACTGTCTTGTCGATATTGATGAATCTGAATGAGAGTAATGTGCAGCAAAAAGGGCACGATGACGAAGAGCAGTTGCAAGAGAGTGTGGGCACTGAACGCAGCGGTAAGGAGAGCAACGGTGAGGAAACAGAAGCGAGAGTGTAAGGCGTGTGGGAGGGGGCAGGCGAGGTATTTCTCCTTTTCACGACTCGGCCGAACAACCACGACACAGGTCCTTTGAGTCCTGACTCCTCCTACCGCCCCCGGCGCCCCGTCTCCAGCAGAACTGTGTGGGCAACCAGCACAAGCGCCGCTGGGCGTGTGGGCTGGCGGAAATTTTGCGAGCGTTGGGCGACACGGCGTTTCCTGTCTCTGGTATGCCTGTGCCTGTAGGGTCCCGTCCCGATGGCCCCCATCCCTCCCCCCGTTGTCCCCCGTTGGTCGTCGACGCGGCCAAAGAGAAGGGTGTGTGGGTGACTAGTGGGCGCGCGAACGAGGACATGGGGGCCAGACTCGTCGCTCTGTGCGCTTTGCTCGGCTTTGCTTTTGCTTTTTTTCAAGTGTTATTATGCTAATAACCGCTACCAAAGCAAGCAAGGCTACAAGCCGAACAACCCCAGGGGCGAAATGACCATGGGGGCCTTCCCTGCCTTGCCTTTGGGGGAATGCGACGCTGCTTTCTGCTGTAGTGCTGATCCAACTGTCAGAGTTGTGAGAGAGTCCTATCCGTACCACAGTACGAAGTGGATAGGAGAAGCTGAGCTTTCTGAAAAGCCGAGGAGATGAGACTCGGAGACACGACAGGCTGATCCTTGAGTGCTGGAAGGTAGGCTTTAGCGGACAAGCACGACAGGGTCCGGCTCTTCTCGCGTATCCCTCTATCTCAGGTGTCCCATTGATAGCACCCAAGCAGTGCATCCGTATCCGTAGAGCCCCGGGAAGGCCAGAGGAGCGCAGAGAGACGTGAGATGAGGCCTGTGGGTGTTGTCCGATGTCCCAGGGCCAGGCCTTGGGTCAACGAACCAGAAGCGGCTGGTCAGTCCGGGCAACGGCACCAAGTCCCATGGAAGGGATCGTGTCCAAAATTGGGTCCGCAGGACGCAGGATCCCGTCGTCGGTGGTGACCCGGATGATTGGCTACACAGACATGGCGGTGGGCCGGCACTGCACGGCGCAAGCTTGCGCTTCACGGCTTCGCTGACGGGACCTTGCTCTAGATTTTCTTGGTCTTCTCAGCCTGCATCTCCCACTGGTTCGTGCCTGCAGAGCCCTGGCAGATCGCCTCCAGAACCCCTGCTAGCTATATGCAGGAACAGCGTATCCTGGTGCATTGAAAAACAACTCATCCGAACTTGTGAGCAGATGGCAGAGTCAGGACCAGTCAGAGCCGCCACAGAATCTCCAGGTCATCATTGACGCCAAGACCTGGTCGATGCTGCGTTGTTTGGTTGCCATGTTTCTCTTCCTTTCGCTGGCTTGCTGCACGAGGCGACCGGGTGTTGGATCCCTCTCCGTCGGAACGTGGGCGACGTGGGAAATGCGCTTGCCAATCATTGCCCGGCGAGACCAAGGATTTTCATCGTCATCACGTCTTTTCCATTCCCCCACACCGTACGGAGTAGATGATGTTATATTTTGTGTTAGGACTCAGAGCTGTTGCTCGACGCCATAAACAACCGCTTGGGTGCAGCCACCACCCTCGGGAATCAAGCCATTGCTCTGCGCTCCCGCCATGGCGCCAACGCCGTTTGTTATCCGTTGACCGATGGGAAACCTGCTAGCCTGGAGGAGTCGACGAAAGATCTAGCCCGTCCTGAGCCGCTCGACCGGTTTATTTTGGGATCGTGCGACTGCAGGGAGAAGTACAGTATTTGCACAGATGCTGGCGTGGTTTTCAGCATTCGACCACAGACTCACCATCAAAAGTGTCTCCGTCTGCAATGACGACGTGTATCGTGCCGTTGTTATCGCTCGGCCGATTGAGATTCAGGTCTCTCCATTCTTTTGGACGGTCATTGCGCGGTTTGGTGTGACCCAGAGCCTGAGGTTATAAGAGAGAAACATCGGTCAGATTGACCCTCGCCCAGCCAATCCGGCGACGTCGTCTTGAGTAACCATAAGCTGTTTCCAGAGTGCTTCCCTGTCGCAGCACTTGCGAATCGTCGCGAGAAATGATCTCAATCATGGGGCTCCACCGCCATTTCCCGCTCAGAGGGGGGGATCATGGATGTGCAACGCTTTGGAGGGTGCCAGTCTTTTCGAAGCAAGGGCTCAGAAAATTCCTTATCCAGCTAGCTTAACCAGGTTCAAAAGCGTAGGTGTCGTGGATAGCTTCTCTTTTTGCGAGATGAGGCCAAGGTGCCAACAAGTGGATTTTGTGAAGGTCTGCGAAGAAGAAGAAGATGATGACGTAGAATGCCCCTCTGAATACGGATTCTGACAGCGATCGCCACAGAGTATCCTCATAGCAGCCTGATCCAGAGTTGATTATGCGAGTATGTCGTGACCCCGTAGAAGGGTGAACATTTGGGACAAATGATGGAAAGTTTGGCATCAGAGCGCCAGGTGTCTGGGACAGCTTTTCGAAGCTGGAATGGGACTTTGAAACACTGCTTGTCGCTTCTAGACCTTGTCGTCAGATCATGCGATTGTGTATTCTGCCTCCACGTTGGATGCAACAACGGCAATGGCCTCTCGTGAAGTGTTTGATTGAGGAGTCGGCTCACTGCAAGGAAGCCCTTGCCGCGGTTGTTTGGGCGCCCTGTTGGGGGTGTTTGCAATGAAGTGTGAATGACTTCGTCAACCTATTGTACGGCAAAGTCGGCGTGTTAGTGACTGCGCATAGGCCATTTGAACGGTGTCACATTGAGTTTGCCATTTCGTCTATTCAATCGCCGGCAAATCGTCTGAATTCTATATTTGTTGTCATGCTCGATTTGACGTTGCCTTTAGCGCTCGAAGCACTTCGGGATCGCGCCGTTTCCCATGTGGTAGCTTGCTGATGGCTGCCATATCATATGGTGCCAGTAGGATCTGGTGGAAACAAGAGGTATGCCTGATATGTGACAAGAAGGACGGAGGTCAACAGCCAGTCATCTTGACTTTTTTCTTTCTTTCCGTCGTTATTGAGATCAAGAAGTCTTGGGGCTTGAAGTTCTTCTATGTAAAAAAGGATGAAGTCGCAGTGGTGAAGTACTTGGCATCGTAGTCATGTTGGAAAAGTGTTGTAGCAGTGATGCTACCTGGAGTTGTCAAGCCGAAAATGCATGTGGCACATGCGTAGAGGAAACTGTTCAAGAGTTGTAAAGTGATGGCGCTAAAGTCCTGGTGACGAATATTCGATAGCATAGGTAGGAAGAAAGCCAAGTTGGTGGTGGACGGCGCTTACCGCGTGACGCTTTCCACTTTTGAACACCTCATCTTGCAGCTTTGTCTTGCCAGCTCATTTGGGAAGCCACCTCACTCTGGCCGCTTTCCATTATCTCGACTCATCAGGCGCAGCTGCGTTGTCAAGCGTCCAGTCAGGCAAGAGGGAAAGACACTATGAGCCTGAATACCTTCCTTTGATCTTCAACCTCACGGCGTACCTCAGAGTTGAGAGACAGCCAGCATAAAGTACCTTATACCTTAGGTCAACACCGCTGCACTGTAATCTACGGATATCTGTATGTACGGAGTTAAGATACGTATCTGACCCCGCCCCCGCGTGCCTTAGGTAAGCTAACTTAGGTTCTCTGCTTGAAGGCAGAGCCACAAGCCGCTGTACATACTCCGTAGAGGTGAGCACTAACCGTCTCCAGCCACGACCCTTCGAGTTTCATCTGCGTGGAACCCCCACCAGCAGCCGCTGAACCGCTACCGGCGTATCATGCAGCACTGCATCGTCTCACTGGAACGCAGCTAGCTACATGTCATCGAGAACCCCAAAGAACAATCAGTCACAAGGTACGTAATGCAAGGCTCCCCACCATGCATATTGCCTTGTCTTGTGCCGCCATTCTTGCCATCGACATCTCGATATTTCCTAAGCTCATACTGATCGAATCTGACCCCTTTTAGCTTCCCAGTAGCTGTCTCTTGCCTCCCCTCTCCTCACGCTTAGGAGCTCTTCCCTGCATCCCATCGAATCGACCCGCCTCGAATCATACCGAATCCAGCATCATGGCGCAGTTGACTGCAACCACCTTCTCTACCGATCCGGCCCTGTGGATCTTCACTTCCTTGACCGCTGGGAATATGCACATCGTGACCGCCACGTCCCGTCTCGAGACCATCCTGCGCGCCAACCGCGTCCCCTTCAAAGCTATCGATCTCTCCACCGATGACAAGGCCCGCATGCTTTGGGGCCGCCGTGCCGGCAAAGACGCCTCGGGTCGACCCAGGAAGCTCCCAGCCCTCATACAAGAAGGCCTCGTCCTCGGTGTAAGACTCACCCCTTCACTCGGTGCTAGGCACCTTGGGCTTGCCGAGGAGAAACCATCTTCTGACACCATGATTTCTACCAGGACATCGTCGAGATCGAAGAATGGAACGAATATGGCGAACTCAAGCAACATGTCAAGATCTACTACGACGAATTCACCATCCCCGATATCAACAACAAGCCCAAGGAAATCGTCAAGAAGAAAATCATCAAAAAGGTACCAAAGGGCACGTTGGCAGCGAAAGCCGCTGCCGCTGCCTCCTCATCTGAGGCTTCCTCATCCGCTCCTGCGCCACCGCCGGCGCCTCCCTTGCCCAAGGACGATACATCAAGCGCCCCAGCGCCTGCCAAAGACAAGCCAGCCAATACGCCAAAGTCACCTGTCGAGAGTGCTACTACCGCGTCCCATCAGTCCATCGCCGACGAGGCAGCCAAGAGGGCTAAGGAAATCCGGCTGAAATCGCTGCGCGAAAAGGTGCAGGCAGCCGCAGATAAAAGGGCCGAGGACGAAGCTGCGGCTGCATCCGCGGCAACAACGACCGCCGCTGAGCCCGAAAAGAAGGCCGAAGCCAAAGCCGCTGCCGAACCTACGACCGCAACCCCGGAAACGCCCCGAAAGCCCTCCGTAGCAAGCACTGGCAGTGATTCGTCGGCCCAGAGCGCCAAGCCCCTCGGTCTTCAATCGCCGACTACGGGCTCTTGGGGTATCACTGCCAACACGGCAACCAATGCAGACGTTCTGCGCGAGACACTCCAGTCGCCGACAACAGCCCGGTGGAAGCCCTCCGACGTCGATAAGCCCGTGACGGTCCACATGGGCGCCGAGGTGGCTTCTGCATCGCAGGAAGAAATTGCCGCAGTCGAGAAGGCCGAAGCCATCAAGGAAGAGCCCAGCCAGGAGAACTCCGACGAGGAAGAGTCGGATAAGAAGAAAATTGCAGAGGTCGAGAAGGCCCAGGTCATCAAGGAGGAGTCAGAGAAGGAGGAAGCGTCGAAGAAAGAGGAAGAGTTGAAGAAAGAGAAAGAGGAAGAGAAGAAGAGGATTGCCGAGGTCGAGAAGGCCGAGGCTATCAAGGAGGAACCGGAAAAGGAGGAAGCCGAGGACACTACCAAGCCCGACGTGGCGGAGAAGACAGCTGCGCCGAAGGAGGCTGCCGCGACAGAGAAGACCTCGGCCCCTGCGAAGGAAGTCAAGGCAGCGCCGCCTGCAGAAGATGATGACGAGGAGGAGGAGGACGACGACGACGAAGAAGACGATAGCGACGACAGCAGCGAGGACAGTGAAGAAGACGAAGAAGAAAGTGAAACCGAGACGAAGCTCAAGGCCACTGAGGCAAAGAAGGAGGATGCTGGGGGTTCGAAG